GAGGCAGAGACACAGGCAGAGGGGGAAGCAGGCTCCATGCAGGGAGCCTGATGCGGGACTCGATCCTGAGTCTCCAGGATCACGCCCTGGGCCGAAGGCGGCACTAAACCGCTGAGCCACCTGGGCTGCCCTGTAGTCTTGTCTTTAAGACCCAGCTTTAAGCCCATCTTGAAGACCCAGCTCCCGAGAGGCCACTATGGTGTCCTTGATGGTCTGACCATTCTCTGCACAGCTGGCGAGCTCATCTGGGCAGGTTGCAGTCCTCTGAAGCATGGGTGTGATTGTGCCTGGTGCCCGAGACTCAACAGTCAACAGGGCTAACTCGGGTTTCTGGTTAGGAGGCAATGTTTCCAGGAAGCCTTTTCTGGTCCATTAGAATCTTCTCAACATCTGGACTTTAGCGATGGGATTTAGAATTTTGTTGGGGAAAAGAGACATGAGAGAAGTTGTATAGCATGATTGTGTATAAAACATGATCATCTGGGTGATGCTACACAGATGAAATAATGAAGGTATTGTCCCGGGGCGGGGGGTGGGGGGGAATTCACAGGGCTGACATGTATTTCCATTAAAATGTTGTCCTTCCAATAGGCCAAATTACTTCGCAAACTCATTTAAATTTCATTGAGGGAACCGGAATGCTTTTACTTTGACTTCAGGTTTGATTTGGATCTCCAGCATTCTCGGTTATTGAAATAATATCTCATTCTTCAATAATAACTTTCTTGGTCTTTTTGTAGCCCAGCTCACTTAGTAAACTATGCAAATTTGCCAAAATAACCAATAGATAATTTAACATAGGAAGCTTTAAATTATGTCTTAATTATGCTATTGTCAAAATAAAAGATGGGTGGCTCAGTGTATATTATATTAAAGTAAGTAGCATAAACACATATTTCATTAGTACTTTGTTTTTAATCTTATACTTTGGCAGGGCTTGTACTGTGATAAATGAATTTTCCTTTTCGTTGGGAAAAGCCAAGTTACTGTTGTTTTTGGTTATGTAGTTGCATTCCTTCAGACTACAATGGTTAGTTAAAGACAAGAAAGGGATATTTGCCTCAGAGACATTTATTTCTTAGATTTACATGATAATGGCCTTCTGAATGGTTTTTCTTAATTTTTTTTTTTCAGTTTTCTCTGAACATTTTCCTGAAAGACACATGGAGTTAAAACAATGAGTAACTATTTTGCATTTATATGAAAATGAAAACCAGCTAAATGTGAACCTGTCCTGACTACATACTACCCAGAACTCCCGTGGCTCTGAATTCTCACAGACATGTATTTTTAGCTTTCCTTTTGATACATCTAAGGCAAAATCAATAAGCTCCTTCATGCTCCTTCCATGCTCCAGCCATAAGCTCCTTCATGCTCCTTCTCACTCCTCCTAAATCCCTGTCTTTGTGAATGGTTTCTTGGCCCACCTTGATGCCCAGGTGGAAATCTTGAATAGAAACCCCAGCATCTTCCTTGATTTCCCCTCTGATGAGGTTTTTTTTTTTTTCTTTCTGTTAATTTTTTCTCCTAATTGTTTCCCTAATCTGTGTCCCCTCTTTTTTGACTTCCCCATAAAGCCAGGCTTTGTGCCCACGTTAGCCATTTCATTGGCCTGCTTGCAGTCTCCTCTCTCCCCATTTGCACTTCTCTGCCCCAGTTTTCTCTGATCGGATGATGTATTGTCTTCATCACCTCCAGTGGTTCTCATCATCCACAGACGAAGTGCAAGCTGCTCAGCGTACAGTCCGACCTTTGCAGTCTGGCTTTGACATGCATTTCAACCCTCATTCTCTGCCGTTGGTCCTCCCATGATCAATACCTCAGCCTTACTGAATCCCAGTTTCCCAATTTGTGCCTGTACCTACCTTATTTCCCGTGCCGCTCTGCTCCCACTAATGCCATCCTCATCACTGATGACCCTCCTCACATTCTTTCCTTGCAGTCACCCGGCCCTCTGGACTTTGCACTGTATGCCTTTGTTACAGGTCTTATATCGTAATTAAGTGGTTCCATGCCTCCTATGGGCTGCTCGTCTATGCATCATTTCCTATTCAGCTGTGATTTAGTGAAATAATCTCTCCTCGGTATATAACCCAACTTCTTCTGTACTGGTTCTTGGCAGGATACTAGCCCTTCTTGATATATATATCATTTTTGGCAGAGTCAGTGAAGTTAAAGGTCCACCTGTAGGTATATAGACCCAAAGACTTGAAAACAAGGACTCAGATAGATGCTTGTGGACAAATGTTCATAACAGTATCATTTATTCACAGTGGCCAGAAAGGGAGAAACAGCCTAAGTGTCCATCAGCAGATGAATGGATAAGCATAATACATATACACACACACAACAGAATATTATTCAGCCATAAGGAGGAATAACGTTGTTACATGTGTTAGCATAGATTAACATGGAAAACATGACACTGAATGCAATAAGCCAGACAACACAAAGATTTTATGATCACTTATATGAGATATCTAGAAGAGGCAAATTCATAGAGATAGAAAGTGTTGGCAGGGGCACCTGGATGGCTCAGTCAGTTACATGCCAGACTCTTGATCTCTTGATTTCGGCTCAGGCCACGATCTCAGGGTGGTGAGATCAAGCCCCACATGGAGCTCTCCACTGGGCGTGGATCCTGCTTGGTTGGGATTCTCTCTCTTCCTCAACCCATCCTCCTTCATTCCCTTCCCCCCTCAAAAAAGAAAAAAAGGTGATTAGAGGCTGGGGAGAGGGGGGATGGAACATTATTAGGTGATGGGTATAGCATTTCTGTTGGAGGTGATGAAAATATTTTGGAAATAGAAGGTGCTGAAAATTGTACAATATTATGCATGTAATATCCTTGAATTGTATACTTAAAAATGGTTAAGATGGCAAATTTTGTTGTACATATATCTTACCCTAATTGAAAACATACATAGTTCTTGAAATTAAAAAAAAAAAAAAAAGATTCTGACACCACCACCACCATCGTCTGTGTAGCCTTACCTTCCCAATATAACATGCAGTTCTTGAAGTCAGGGACGTGTCTATATAGAAAATATCCTTTAAGAAACATGGCTTTTAAATATCCTTTAGCAGACATAGTAAGGGTTTAGAGTAGGTTGTTTTTACAATTGCTGAAACTCTGAGGAGAGCGTTTGATATTTTACTTGAATGTTAATAGATGCAGTCCTGACAAAGTGATATGAAGCTTTTTTGGAACATAATTTGCTATTTCTGACCTACTATTTAAGATTGTGCATATTAACCCTGATACCTTTGGAAGGAAAACCAAGTAGCCCAGCCAAGTGTACTTTATGTTTGTTTTTTGTTTTTTGTTTTTTTTTCTGCTGCTGTTTTAAACAAAGGGCTTGGATAACTAAGCTGCTTACAAGCTATGGATGAGAATCCTACTGATTATTTTCCCTAAATCCTTCTTAAAGGAAATACAGATTTTTTTTATGCTTTCTCCCAGCGTAAATAATTTTACTCTTCTAGGATTTAAGGTATATTTCTTCATTTTTTTAAGCTCGTATGGAAACATTTAAAAATAAAATAGGTAATGATGACAAACTAATACAAATACAATTTATAGCACAGTGCATTTAATGTACATGAAAATATGTAAATTCAAGACCTCTTAAAATCTGGATTGTTTTATTGCTGGGTGCCAGGATATTCTTTGAAAATAATTGAGATGCAAATGTGAGACAATGTTAGCCCATATTTACTATTAATTGTCTTGTGTAGATTTCTGCTGTCTCATTCACTGTCTGCCTTGAATTTTGTATTTGGAGTCCACCTAGCAAACTCGTTAGGAGTTATGATGTGATGAATGCTAAAGAGGTTATTGAAAACTAAATTGCTCTTGTAGGACTATTTCAGAACTCAACATTAGAGAAATTAATGTTATTTTCACCTTCCTTACTTTTGGAAGATGCTTTGGCCACCCAGTGATAGTTCTTTCTAATAGATTTTCCTATTCCTCCCAACTTGGACAATAAGTGTGCTCTAGGGTGGTTCATCTCAACTTTTACTGTGCATTCAAAATGCAGGTTTGGCTTGGGGGACATAGGCAGTGAGATTCTGCATTTCTAGCTCTTAGATGCTTGGTTTATGGACTACGTTTTGAGCTCCATGCTCTTGGTAGAAACCTATTTCAAGTATTTGATTTTGATGTGCTGTTAAAATTGAATGCCGTGTAGGATTGCCAGAGAAAATACAGATTGCTCAAGATGTCCCATTCACTATTTTTGCACATACTTGTACTATAAAATAACTCATTTACCAGAAATTTAATTTTCAAAGGACTAGACACTGATAGATTCAAACACACCCTAAATCTGGCAACCCAAAAATGCCATTTTAATAATTTCTGAGTACATTTAAATGTCTTAAAATAGTATTATTTGCAGAGAAAGGACACAGAATTAGGTGTATTTCAGACTCTTTTTTTTTTTTTTAAGAGAGTGCATGCAAGTGGGGGAGGGACAGTGGGAGAAGGAGAGGCTCTTAAGCAGCATGGAGCAGTATGGAGCCAGACACAGGTCTTGATTTCACAACCCTGAGATCATGACCTGAGCTGAAATCAAGAGTTGGACGCTTAACTGACTGAGCCACCCAGGCGCCCCTCCGACTTGTTCTCTAAGTACTTATTTAGTTGTTTTGCTCATAGGCTTTTCAATACAATGAAATACGGAAACATGACCCCACCTCCTCCAATATCTAGGGAATTCTTGGAAAAATAGTGAAATCTGTACATTCTGAAATATACCTGAAAGCAGAGAAATGCCCTATGTTATCAGTGTTTTCAGTTGAACACTTGAAGTAATAAAGATGTTAATACGATAGATTTGAGTTCAGACAATCTTTATAGTTTTTCATTGTATCCCTTTGAGTTGGTATTGTGCGCTGTTGGTATTTCCAAGCCCTGCATAATAACATGACATGAGAATGATCTTTGATGTTTTTCAGTTATAAATAAGAAAACGTAAATGAGTTTCTTTTTCTAGATTCTTCACGGAGTTGGAAGCAAGACATCAGAATAATATCTTCATCGATGACATAAGTGACATTGTGGAAAAGCACACAGCATCCACATTTGACCCGTATGTGAAATACTGCACAAATGAAGTCTACCAACAACGAACACTACAGAAATTGTTGTAAGAGATGTTGAATGTTGCCCTTAATAGCCTAACCACTGTTTAATTAGGTCACGTTGATTGAAATTCATTGATCTCTTACATCATACTTAGAAATGACACTTGGTGGGCTATTTTCCAGGATTGCTTTCAGGGTGAGGATGTTGCAGTAGAAAAATCTATACTGTGGACAACTTTCTCTCTAAAGCAATTACAAAATTATAGGTTTCTGTTATTTTCCTTGTTGTTGTTTTAGATTGCTGCGAGCTACGGGAGTGATCGTCATTCTAGAACTCCCCAGTTTTATAAGCCATTGAATAGTTTGCCTGAGGCCAAGAAAGTATTTGAGTTGAACTCCTGCCTCAGATCCAGAACTTCTCTACTCTTCTTCCGTTGGGATGACGAAACGGAAGTTTTTTATAGGAATTTCTATAGGAATTTTATAGGAATTTTTGATGTTCCCCTTCTGGGTAGTTAGAAATGAGGAGAGCAGGGAAGGACTGAAGGAAAGCAATAGGAAAAAAAATGTTCTTAAAGGCGTTAAGAATACAACAAAGAGGCTTTAAATTTCCCTCCTCACCTTTTCTCTTTGTCCTCTTTAGGTTTAACCTAGAGTTTGTGTGTTTTCCTTTTTTTTTTTTTTTTTTGATGTGATGTATATGGCTTTAGCCTTAAAAGTCAGCGATTGTTCAGTAATGTTTTATTTTGGGGGCCCTGTTTATGTCAAGTAGCTATCTGTTTTACAACACAGTGTACATTGCCATAAACTCGGCTTGGGGGCTGATGGCTGTTATCACTCACAGCCCCTGTGTAGGCTGTGGCATTTATGACCACAGCAGTGGAGCTCTGCTCAGCTTCTCTGCAGGGTGTGAGCCCCTGCAAGGGGATTGGGGTTGGTGCTGGGAGACACAGCCCACTGAAGCTCCCAAGTCAGTGGGAAGGGCTCCTTGAGCTGCTCCTCCCTCCACAACCTCATGAAACTCTTGAATGGGCAGGGTGGAAAATTAATAGCTGGCAACCGCAAATGAAGTTTTTAAGTACAAAGCAGGGTTTGTTGGCACCGTTGACATTTTGGCCTGGATGAGTCTTTGCTGTGGGTCTGTCCTGTGCATTGTAGCATGTTTTATAGCATCCTTGGCCTCTGTGGACTAGATGCCCCTCACTCCAATGGTAACAACCAAAAATGGTCCTAGACGTTGCCAAATGTTCTTGGGGGCTTAATCTCACCCCAGGTTTTCTTAACCTCCCAACGGCCCCGGGACTGCCGATAGGGCGCTGTGTAACTGTTAGAAAAAATGCAAGTTACGTGTTTGAAAACAAAGCCTTGAATCAGAGCTAAATTTCATTTTGTGTCGTTAAAGTTTGCAGGATTTTAAAAATGTGAATAGGCACTGCTGTAACTTAAGAAGTAAAGGTTCTAGGGGCCCCTGGCTAGCTCAGTCAGTGGAGCATGAGACCCTTGATCTCAGTTGTAAGTTCGAGCCCCGCATCGGGTGTAGAGATTACTTAAAAATAAAATCTTTAAAAAATAAAGATTCTGTCTAAGTTAACTTAATGATACCGTTTGAGCTTTCACATGGGAAATAGTAGCTGTGTTTTCATGAGTTTTGTAGCAAGTATTGTGAATTCACACACTGGAAATGCTTGAGAATCTTTGAAAACAAACATATAATAGATCCCCAGGGACCATCCCAGACCAGACTATTTAATCAATATTTGGGGGAAGGGGTCCTGGGACCTGAGTGATTTTAAATATGGAACTGATTTGGAGTTTGATTTTTTTTTTTAACTTACTAAACATCTTTTTAAAGCTAGCAGGAAAGGAAACTTAAAATTCCTCATTTGAGAAAATGAAAATAAAACATTTCTGTGTAATTTCTTTTAATTGGCTATTCTGGGCATTTACTTATTTGTGAACCAGAACATCTAATTTTCAAAATACATTTTTTTTAAGTTGGAACCACAGCTGCCCTGCTTCTTGGCCTCTTGCTCCCCAACATGCGATTACAGTACCCAGTCCCGATCCCTGTCTCCTCCTTGTTGTAAGTCACAAGGGAACTCCTCGGAGTCCCTCTGGGGTGAAGTGAGCTACGAAAGCAAGAGATATGGGGGTCAGGCCCCCCTGAAACTCAAAAGGCCTTGATTTGACTTCTGTCTTCATCAGATGCTAGGGCTGTTGCTTGGCCAGTGGAGGATCCTTCTAAGACTCTCTTCTTATTGGAATCCCCTTTTGGCCTTCCTTAAATATTGTCTGACTGTTTCCATGTGAGGTCCTGTATGTCGGTATGTCTGGCTAAGTTCCATAAAAACATTGTGGCGGTATTATCACTGTTGTTATGTCACCAGGAGGGGAGAAATACTCCAGCTGGCATGGTCAGAAAGTTTTCTGTCCTAGAAGCTTTGAAAAAGGCCAGAAGCCTCCTAGTAAATAAATATGATATTTCTTTCTGGGATTATAATTTGGGGCTAGAGAAGTGACTTAAAACACCATCTGTTATCTTTTTAATGGAATGTCTATAGATTATCAGATTGCAGATCTAGCCTGTACGCGTTAATAATTAATATATTCACAGATATGTTCACCTTTTTGATCGCCTCTTCGTTTACTTCCCACTTCTATAAATTTATAGCTCATGCATTTCTTATTGTTCATATTATCTTAAAATCCTGTCATATTTAGTCTTCACTATAAAAGGCAGATAGGCCATCTGTGTCTATGTCATTGTTTGTTGTTTTATATATTAAAAATCATAATATGTGAATTTATCACAGTGTTTTAACAGGCATACTTAGGTTTAGTGTGCTCCACTTTATCTCACTTTTACCAGATCTGTTTTTTTACAAATTGCGTCGAGCAAGTCTGTTGGCACCATTTCTCCCAACAACATTTGCTCACTTGGTATCTCTGTTACATTTTTGTGATTCTCACAATATTTCAGATATTTTCATTATTATATGTGTTACAGTGATCTGTGGTCAATGATTATAACTCACTGAGAGCTCAGATGATGGTTAGCATTTTTTTTAGCCATAAACTATGTTTTAATGAAGGTATGTGCATCTTTTTTTTTTTAAAGATTTTATTTATTTGAGAGAGAGAGAGAGAGAGAGCAAGTGCATGCAGAGTGAGCAAGCAGGGGGAGAGGCAGAGGGAGAGGGAGAAGCAGGCTCCAAGCTGAGCAGGGAGCCTTATGTGGGGCTTGATCTCAGGACCCTGGGACCATGACCTGAGCCCAAGGCAGATGCTCAACCGACTGAGCCCCCCAGGCACGGTGCATCTTTTTTAAGACACGATGCTATTGCACACTTAATAGATGACAGTGTGGTGTAAACATGACTTTTACATGACCTGGGAAATCCAAAATTCCTTTGACTCACTTGATTGCAGCATTTGCTTTATCGTAGTGGTCTGGATATCCACAATATCTTCGAGGAATGTCTGTAGTATGTTTTTGCTTTTTACCTTGAAGAGAAAGTATTTTGAATTCTTCTTTCTTTGTTTCTTCTCAGAGCCACCAACCCATCTTTTAAAGAAGTACTGTCACGAATTGAGTCCCACGAAGACTGTAGGAACTTACCCATGATCTCCTTCCTCATCCTCCCCATGCAAAGGGTGACTCGCCTGCCCCTGCTAATGGATGTAAGACATGGTCTGCTGGCTCTTTCCTCTGCGGGTAGCTGTGCTACTATAAATCTGATTAAGAACATTATTCTTATTTCACTTGGATCAATGTACTATATCCCTTCTATAAAATCCTCCACCTAAATGAGAAGGGGCCATTCAGTTGGAACATCGCACTGTGTCTAGTATCTTTGGAAATTACCTTCAACTTAGGCTTGTGTAGGCACCCTGAAGATTTCCGATTACATCACTCACTTAACATTTTTCGAAATGGGAAAAACATGGGCTTATTGGAGGCACAAGGCTTGGATGCTGGTTCCAGCTGAGCCGCTAGCCATGTGGCCTTGGGCAAGTCATGTAATGTCTTCAGCCTCAGTTTCTTTGGGTTGATCACCAAGATCCCTTCCCTAGAGAGTTCCAAGATGCTGTGGTGCTCCCACTGTACATGGGAATGAGATACTGTTCAGCATTAGAAGGCATGGACTTGCCTTTATTTTGTGCTGCACAAAGGAGGGTATGGAAAGGCCAGCATCATTCATACTTCAGGGAACATTCACGAAGAAAACAAGGATTTAATTTTATTATTTTTTTATTTTTATAAATTAATTTTTATTGGTGTTCAATTTACCAACATACAGAATAACACCCAGTGCTCATCCCGTCAAGTGTCCCCCTCCGTGCCCGTCACCCATTCACCCCCACCCCCCGCCCTCTTCCCCTTCCACCACCCCTAGTTCATTTCCCAGAGTTAGAAGTCTTTATGTTCTGTGTCCCTTTCTGATATCTCCCACACACTTCTTCTCCCTTCCCTTATATATATACAGTGTATGTTCTCACTCATTTGGGGAATATGAATAATAGTGAAGGGGAATATAAGGGATTTAATTTTAAATAGTGACAAGACATGGCTGGGAGAAGCGAGTAGAGACTTCCTGGTCTGAAGTGCAGCTGGGAGGATAGCTAGGCGGCAGGCCAGGGGTCCTGCACACCGGCTGGGCCGGATCCACAGCGGCAACGACGAGAGAAGAACCAGGTGGCCCGGCACAGCTCCCACCTGGCTAGTGGGCCAAATAGTGTCTCTTTTGATCAAGTTAAAATATTTTGCCATAGTCGTACTTCACAATTGGATCATAATGTTAGTGTCTGTTTCAACGAACGTGATTTTTGCATGTCAAAACACAGGATAAAAATACAGCAAAAAATTATGATTGAGTAAGGTTACAAAATAAATTCCATTTCCCATATTCCATCATAAATTCAGAGATTTTCTAAAAGCACTGACATTTTGCAGTGAGTAAAAGCATGCGATCACAGTCACTTTGTTGGCTCTGCTGCCTGGACGGGGGTTGGTAGTTGTTTTTTCAGAATTCCCAACACCCTGCTCCTCTAGCTTCCCCTCAGTTTCCTGCCTTCGCATGCTTCCCTTGTGATTTAGGGGCGTCTCTCCTTGTAAGTATTGGAAAACTTGCAGAATTTTGAAAATTCAGCTCTCTGATTGATGGACTGATTGAGAAAAACATTCGTTGGGTCTAAGGATAGAATGCAGTCAGGTAATCAAAACCAGATTTTGGCTTCAAGAAGGTTTATTTGTAGGTTTCAACCACCCTTGTTTCCTGACTTTCCCACTGAGCATCTTTGTTCACATTGTCGCCGGCTGTCACTTCTCAGCTTCACAACTAAAACAAGCAGGTCTTTCAAGCACTGGCCCTAATGCTCCTTCTTTCATAAAGCCTTGCTCAGTGCCCTCCCTCGCAGATGCATCTTCCTCCCCATCTGAACACCCATAGCACTTTGAGAGAAGGGACTCTGCTATGTAAGCTTGGTGTCCTACAAGTCCTGTGACTTCTGGAGTAAGAACGATCTGGGCACAAATTCTGGCTCTTCCCCTGATAGTGTGATCCCAGGCAAATTGCCTGATTTCATCTGAAGCCTCAGTATAATATATACCTGCAAGATTGGCATGAAAACGGGTGAAGTAGTAAATGTTTTAAGCCTGACAATAATAGACGCTCAGTATTTCTTAACTAAATGAACGTAGATACTATACAGGCTTGTGCTGAGTCATGTAAACACTGTGAAGTTTTCAAAGATACATTTGATACTGTACTTTCTTCCATTAGATTTTATAAGCAGTAAAAAGTCATTTTAAAAAATGAGTTTATTTCATAGGATTTCTGACATTTTCGTAAAGTACGAAACTTTGAACCGTCTAGAGAAATGCTGTTTCAAATTTTGCTATTTTTAAAAATGAGAAATGGGTGCTTTCTAAATACAACATTTATCGCAAAGTTACAAAGTTTCAGGGTTCTTTCTCTTCGGAAAATGTATGTTAGCCGTATTTCTTTAGATCCTGTATATTCTGTGATCTCTTTGCCTTCTATATTTTCTCTGTTTAATTTTGATAAAATTGCTTAAGTAGATTGGGACTCACAGAATCTAGTGTACCATGTTGCACCATGCTGGAGGTTAATGCCGTGAACGTCCAGTAAGCTCAAAACTTTCTGGGTCAAAGACCCTGTTGATATTCTGAGTAAAGCTACAGTCATTCGCCCTAGAAAGTTCAGCAATGCACAAAATTTACATAAAATTGAAGTGTGCAAAGACCCTTCAGGACCCAGGATGCCTTCACGGACATAAACCAGTATTTCTCACACTGCCTCTGTACACATTAGTGGGTCATGAAGCTGATTTTTGATCATGAGCTGTGTTTATTTAAAAAGTGACATAGAATAGAATGATATGATATTATACAGAGTTCATAATGTGATTAAGTATTATTTTTAAAAAAAACCCTTTTCATTTCCACATACATACGCACTGGTAGCTAATGTAGATGTATTTCTTACCGTGGGTCTTAGTCCAAAATTGGAGAACCATTAACAAAAGCCCATGGATGAGACACTCTCTGCTTCTCACATAGCACATAAGACAGTCCTGACACCTGACTTTCGGATCTGTAGGTCTGGTACTCACCTACGTTCAAGGTACCAGTTCCCAACTTACCCCCTCAAACAGTTCCGCCTCTGTTTGATGCCTTTTGCTGTAATCGGTTTCCCAAATGTGAGAATCTGGACACCTGGGTAGAATCTAAATGTACCTAAAGCGTCGTCTCTTCAGTTCTGCTTCATTTGGGAAGTTAGTTAAACTTGTTAATTGAGATGGACATTTTTAACAATTAAAATTACTCCATCGTCCTTAAATGGATGTGGTTTCACAGATTATTTGTAACTCCATAGGAATTGATCCTCTTCGAAGTTCATTTTAGCATCCCCAAAACTGCAGTGTACCTATATCAAAAGAAAATCCGGTAGCTTGTTTTTCTTGATCTTTTTTTATTCAGTGGTATGGTCTGCACACATATTTCTCTTTAGTGATGATGATGGTAATAATTAAAGTAGTTTTGGGCAGCCCGGGTGGCTCAACACCACCTTTGGTCCAGGGCGTGATCCTGGAGACCCAAGATCGAGTCCCACATCAGGCTCCCTGCATGGGGCCTGCTTCTCCCTCTGCCTGTGTCTCTGCCTCTCTCTGTGTGTGTGTCTCTCATGAATAAATAAATAAAATATTTTTTAAAAAACTGTACTTGTATTATCATTTAATCCTGGCAACAGCCTTGTGATGTAGTTGGCTTTATCCACATTTTACAGATGGGAAACTGAGGCTGATAGAGAGAGAGTCTTGCCCACAAATACCTAGTAGGCGACAGGACTTGGATTTGAAACCAGGTTCATCCACCTCTGAAGTCCATTCTCTTATTTCATCATTTGCTGGATTTACTTGGATCCTGTTCAATTAAAGACTGTTTCTTAGTTTTGTAATCAGATTCTAATGTAATCCATCATGTTGTGCTCAGCATTGTTAAGTTTGCTATGAGCAAGAGGATGTGGCTGGACCTTGGTTTTATTTCACGTAATAAAATAAACTGATTGATTTTTGTTTTTTTTCTTTTACTTCGCTGCAGACTATCTGTCAGAAGACACCGAAGGACTCTCCGAAGTATGAGGTCTGCAAGAGAGCCTTAAAGGAAGTAAGCAAGGTAACTGTTGAACAATAGCGAGCTAGTCACACAGTAAACTGTTCAGCGTCTTGGAAGAGCGCGCATCTGGATCTGATGCTGAACATTGGTGGTTCTCAAAGCCATTTGGCCAGCATTCCTTCGGGAGCTGAAAAACAATATTGTTTTCTGTACTCAAATGAAATTAGTATTTTTATTGTCTTGCTATAAGGCCCAACAGACCTCTCATTTTCTTTTGGTGTCTGAATAGTCGTTTATTCATTCTTTGATCAACCAGCTACTTACCGAAGTATCAACTACCATACCAGGCATGATGCCAGTCCCTGAAAATATGGTGATTCACACGTAAGACAGTTGTGGTTAATACCCTCATACACTGTGCTGTATAAAGGGGAAGGCAGATGCTAAATAAAAATTACAATACAAGGTGATGAATGATACGGTAGCGAAGAACATAGTGATGTTGAGGCTGAAACCTAAGTCAAGCTTAGCTCTGAGCCAGGGCTTGGGGAGGAAAGAGAGTGTCTCAGGTGTGGGTAGAAACACAAAGGCAAGAAAAATATTTGGAGGGTTTGAAACACTGGAATGTTCTTCATGTGGCTGTAGAGCCCAGTCTAGGAAAGAATGCTGGGGAGCCACGTAGGGAAGTGTGGACCTTCTCTTAAGATGATGGAGAAGCTATAAATTCATGTGTTGTGAAGGGGACCGTGGGGATGGGACCAGTTATGAGGCTTTTGTAGTTGATTAGGGTAGTGGTGACAGTGGCCTTTATGGGTGTGTAGTAAAGGGAGAGAAGCAATATATAGTATTGGGGAGGCAGGCACAGAGAGTGAGTGAGTGTGTTGGAGATCAGAAGTCAAGGAGTATGGTCCCCGGCTTCTTGGGCAACTAGCCGGATGCTTACTTACATACCTTTACAATAGAAACCTAGGGAGAAACGGATGAGTTCCACTTTGGATGTGTGATGACAGAGGTTCTTACAGAATGTTCAAGTTGGCTGAAATAAACAGGTCAGGAGCTCACTGGGGAGACTGGAATTGGGAGACTTGGCTTTGGTGATCCCGGGCACGCGATGATTTCTGAAGCTGGGCGAGTGGATGAGATTACCCAGAACGAGCCTGTAGACTGAGAAGAGTAGTGAGTCTGAGCCACAACCGTCACGAAGAACACTACCACCCTTCATCTCATTTAGGGAGAGGAGTCCTCCCAGGGGAGACTTCAAAAACAAAAACCATCGATGAAAGGAGGAAAACCGTAATGGCCCGGCAAACGGCAGATGTTTTGGTGGAAAGACGGTCAGCCCTGTTGAGTGGCTCCTGAAAGAGCGTGAATAACGAGTGAGGCGGTCATGGGTTTATCATCGGGTGGGCCGTGTCCCCGCGGTGGTGGGTGGGGAAGCTGGATTGCAGTGTGTTGAGGAATGAGTGGGAGGTGTGGACGTGCAGCTGGCCAGCAAGGGTAGCTGTTTCAACACGGGAGCTGTCAGTGGAGAGAGAGGGCTCTAGCTGGAAGGGCGGTGTGGGAACATCTTCCTGTTTGTTTGTTTAAAAATTAGAAGGACGTGGGCGCATTGAAATGCCAATAGGAATATCTAGCTGAGGGAAAGCAGTAGAAGGTATAGGAGTTAATGAAGATACTGTAGAGCTGGGCAGAGGGGTGCAGAGACGATGGTAGCGCCAGGAGCTTCCTAAACCCACTTGCAGCTACCAAACCACCTTCGAGTCTGGTACATCTTTGCACCACTTTGCTATGAGGTAGTTTCTTTCCTTTTTTTTTAAATATTTATTTATTGATTTATTTATCTTAGGCACAGAGAGAAAGTGAGTGGGAGGGACAGAGGGAGAGGGAGAAAGTGAATCCTCACACAGACTCTTTGCTGAATGTGGAGCCCCCAACACCCTTAGATCATGACCTGAGCCAAAAATCAAGCATCAGCTGCTTAAGTGACTAAGCCATCCAGGTGACCCTGTGCTGCTGCTTTTTTTTTTTTTTAAGATTTTATTTATTTATTCATGAGAGACAGAGAGAGAGAGAGGCAGAGGGAGGAGCAGGCTCCATGCAGGGAGCCCAGTGCAGGACTCAATCCTGGGACTCCAGGATCAGGCCCTGGGCTGAAGGCAGGCACTAAGCCACTGAGCCACCAAGGGATCCCTGTGCTCCTTCTTTTAATCAACCTTCAGTGACTCTATATTCTGTATCTTCATCCTTGCTAATAGTACCTACAAAATCATGGATTTTGTGACCTCATTGTCTATTTTTCTACTATGCATTTTTTTTTATTAAAAGTAAGTTTATCTGTGTTTTACTTAATTTGGGCTGCTGTAACAAAATACCACAGACTGGGTGGCTTATACACAACAGAAATTTATTTCTCATAGTCCTGGAGGTTAAAGAATCCAAGATTGGGACCCCCGGGTGGCTCAGTGGTTGAGCACCTGCTTTTGGCCCAGGGCATGATCCTGGAGACCCGGGATGGAGTCCCACATCAGGCTCCCTGCATGGAGCCTGCTTCTCCCTCTGCCTATGTTTCTCATGAATAAATAAATAAAATCTTAAAGAAAAAAAAAGTCCAAGATCAAGGTGCCAGCATGGTCAGGTGAGGGGTGTCTTCTGCGTGGCACATTTCTCCTTGAGCCTTACACAGTGAAAGGGACTGAGCCTCTCTTGTAAGAGCACTAATCCCATCATGGGGGCCCTACCCTCATGACTTTTTTTTTTAAGATTTTGTTTATTCATGAGAGACAGAGAGAGGGAGAAGCAGGCTCCATGCAGGGAGCCCGACGTGGGACTCGATCCCAGGAATCCAGGATCACACCCCGAGCTGAAGGCAGGCACCCAACCACTGAGCCACCCAGGGATCCCCCCTCATGACTTTTGAAGCACCCCCCAAAAGCCCCACTTCCCAGTACCACCATCTTTGGAGGTTAGGATTTCACCATATGAGTTTGGAGCGGTATAAAAATTAAACCTTCGCTATCTGTCAACCACTTACACTCACCACTTGCCCCATCAGTGATCTGCCCATCCCACTTGGGGAAACACTTAAGTGAAGAAAACTTAGCGTGGCAGGTGTAAAGTTTCCTAGGGTCCTGCCACCAGAGGGTCTCTCTCCGGGACCCCACGGCCTCTGTTGCGTTCCTGGAGGCAATAAGGGGAGAGTCTTTGGGAGAAGCCACTAGTGAAGTTCTAGCGTTGGACTGGCGAGAAATGTCATCACATTCTATCTGGTGGTTAGTGAGAAGTTAAGAATTCACACAGAAGAGGCAAGAGGAAGGCTGTGATCACTGTCGAATTGAGCTAAGCATGATATTTAGCGTTTTTCAAGAATTTCACATCCCAGTTACAGTAAACCACTACATTCCTTCAGGCGTCTCTTGTTCACTGGATTCGACACTGGTACCCGTAGGAAAGGCTGGCAGGCCCAGAACGGATCAGAGAAGGGCTTTAATCTGATACGATAAGCATATAAAAGGCCCTCTGTGAGGAGACGCCGTTCTGGTGACTTGTTTCCTCTGCATTTCTTTCTCTCTCTTGAGCCCAAGTTATGAACATCAGGATTATTCCTCGAGTCTCCTAGTGGTTCGACTGATACAGCCAACTCGGGAGTTGACCTTCTTGTTCATTTGTGAAGTTTACTGATGGGATTTTATTGATTCCGGGAGGGACGGTATCAGTATTTGCAACAAACAGATTGCGTAAATAGAGCATTTATCGTTCACAACTACAATGCAGGGTTTCACTTGTTTGCTTTCCGTGAAAAGAAAGATACGGGGAGATCCCAGTATTTATTTTAGAAAGTGAAACTTGGTCTATCAGCGTCTAAGTTTTTAGAGGCAGACTCTTTCTGCCTCAGGCCCTTGGGCAAGCGTCTCTAGGTGGCTATTCATTCTTGGAAGAGAATGAGTAATATCTTTTCTGGTAATTAAAATGCTAATGAAATTTATTTGCAATAGTGTGAATAACATGTCACTGAAATTCCTCATACATGTTGCTGCAACGAGTGTAAGTGCTTACTGAAATCGGGGCCTTGGAAAAAAGACTTACTGACCTCGTCGAGCAACTCAAAAGCAAGATGTTTCTGTTAAATAAATAAAATGTGTTTACTTCCTGATGTTCTGTTCACATGCTGGGGTGGAGCTGCAAGGAGGGCGATTTGCAGGGAATCCGAAGTTCGGCTGGTGCAGAGCGCTGTCTGGTGTCCAAGGAGCGAAGGCCAGACTGTGGTTTCTTAGGCCAGTGAAGTCCTTCCGGCCGTTCTTTCATTTACTCTCTGCTGAAGAGAGTAAGCGTTCGCTCTCACCTCATAAAAATGCTGCTCCTATTTGGACATACTGTTAAGTCCTAAGCTTTCCTCCTGGTGGTGAAAGAGCCAAGTCTCTTTAATCTTCTCCTGTAACCTATTGCTTCTGCCATTTGCAGAAAGGTAGACATGTGTATCTTTTACCATGGAAAGATATCCCTAAGCTACATTATTACGGGAGGAGCATTAAGTTGCAGAGCAGTACAAATACTGTCATGACGTCCAGATAATGAAGTGTGTTGACGCTCACCATGCGTGTTATCAGTATAGAGAAATAGTCCCGGAATCCTACACATCAAACTTTGCACTCCGTGGAAGGGAGGGATTCCCAGGGTTTCCATTTCCACTCTGAGTTCTGCTCAGTCAGTGCATTTAAGGGGGACACCTGGGGAGCTCGGTGGTGGAGCATCTGCCTTTGGCTCAGGTCGTGATCCCGGGGTCCTGGGATCGAGTCCCACTCCGGGCTCCCCTCGGGGAGCCTGCTTCTCCCTCTGCCTGATTCTCTGCCTCTCTCTGTGTGTCTCTCATGAATAAATAAATAAGATCTTTAAAAAAAAAGGAATGCATTTAAGGTTTGCAAACGTATATTCTTAAATATGTGTACGTTATAGAAAATTTGGAAATGTAAGAGAAGATAAACCGTATTGGTCGTTTTATCAAAGGTAATGATTGTCGTCACCCTGCTACATATCCTTCCATTGGGATGTCTAATCCAACACCAGTGTATGGTATAAATGTACACAGAAACACAGATTTGTACGGGACCCATTTCACTTACTATTTCTACTAGTGCTTCCTGGAACATTGTCTTGCACAAATGATTGTGTTCGTCTGATTATTTCTAAAGAAAAACTTTTATAGGTCAGTTTATTGGAACAAAAATGTAAGATTTTTTTTAAAGGCCCCCAAGTACCTTCAGAAAAAGTTGTTTCCATGGCCACCAGAAGATCTGTAAATGTCTGTCTTAGTGCATGTTTCCCAGCTCAAATATTATTTAAGCTTTGTGGTTTTGATAGATTGAGAATATTTTATTTTTAATTTATATTTCTTTATTTAACAGGTTTAAAAAAAAAAAAACAAAACATAAGTTTGGCCTAAAAATACCTAGTGAGATAAATTTAATCACGCGTTGGCAGCCGCTGAAGGAAGGCATTATTTTAATACACGGAGCCTGATTTTAATAAAAACACCAGGGCACACAGGCAAATTAATGCTTGTCCCTTCAAAATGGTTTAAAGTGGGCTCCACTGATGCTTAAGACAGACGTTTGGGGAACTTTTCTGTTTTTCCTATGCCTCCTGAAGCCCTGTCTTCCCACGTGGCGGCTGACTCCATCTCTTGCTAATAGAGTTGATATTTGGAACTTTAGGAAATAAGATCATAACCCAAACTTAATAATGCCATTTTTCCCCCTCTTTTTAAAACAGAATAACTATAAAGGAACGATTTCCCCCCTACTACTACCCACCTTTATTACTATTTTTTTTTAAGTGACTTATACACTGTCACTGAGGGCCGTTTACGCAGAAACATTTGCCGAGCGTTCGCTGCATGTGTAGGTGCCGGGCTGTGGACACTGAGTTTATAAATACGGACGTTTCACCGTCTCTGCCGTCCCTCCTCTCCGGAGAGGACGTGCCACAGATAAGTGCTGGCAGACTTGGAAGGCGGGAGGACCCCAGATCCGGCCGGGCGGGCCGCCCAGGGAGCGCTGCAGGGCCTTCGGGCAGAGGGGGGCACAGGTGCAGAAGGCCCCAGGCCCGGGCCACCGGGGAGCCCCGGCCTGGCCCGGCCGGGCCTAGAGCAGCTGCCAGGTGGTGGCGGCGCCAGGACTGGTCTGAAGGCTGACAAAGGGGCCTTCCAAGCCGTTGGAGCCGCGGCGTGTCCTGCTCGATGTGAGCTGAGACGGCCTGTGACCCTCAGGGCGCGGGAGGCCGGGTGGAGGCCGCGGTTGGCAGACAGCAGGTGGGTCGCAGCCCCAGGGACACGCTGGGGCCTGAGTTCGGGCACGAGGCACGGGGACAGAGGGCCGAGGAGCGGGGCTCGGCTTTGGGAGGGCGGGTGACCCGGTGCTCGGCCTGGGGGCCGGGGGGCCGCGGGGAGCGGGCAGCCCGTCCTCGCTGAGCCCGGCTGCCTGGGCCGTGGAGGCGGGCGGCAGCTCCCGGGGACGGAGGTTGGGGAGCCCCGAGCACGCTGCCGGGGAGCAGGGGAGCCTGGCCGAGTCTGCCCCGGGGCCGCGGGAACCCTGGAGGGCCCGGCGGTGCCCGAGGCGGGTGCCCGGCTCCTGGCTGTGACCGCGGGGAGCCTGAGCCCCTGCGTCGGGGGCTCCTTCGGTGCAGACCTGCAGGAGGGCTGGCACGGAGGACGGGTGCCTTCCTGACCTAGACCCCTGGGACGCGGTCGGAGGTCATTTCAGGGCAGCCAGTGGAGACCTTGCGATGGCAGCAGCGCAGGTCGCGTCCTGTCCCTGTCCCGCCGAAAGGCCGCCTGCGAGGCGTCCACTTGGGATGTGGGATGCGCTCCGAATGCTCCAGGGAGCCGCGTGCCCTGCCCCGGCTCGGGGGTCCCCGCGTGCCGCCCTCCCGTCCCCGGGTCTGTCGCTCAGCCAGAGCAGCGCTGGGCCCGTAGGCCCTCGGCTCGCGGGGTCCACTCCGCCCAGACCTGCCGCGCCGAGGCCGCCGACGCGGGCTGTGGGCTCAGCAGCCCCTGGCGCCGGGCTGGGCGCTCTGACCTTACGTGGTCCGGGGATTGGTACGGAGCTTCCTCCAGTCGGCGTGATGGAGGACGCCGGTGGCCATCAGTGGTCAGGCCAGCCGGCGGCCTGCGCTGTCCCCTCCCCAGAGGTCGGTGAGCGGGGGTGCGGGGCCTGGAGGCCACAAGCTCTCCCCCACCGCTCGGCCGGCTCCCCCGGCAGCCAGCCTGGTCCTCGGGGGCTCTCTGAGCGCTGCCGCACCAGCGTCAACTCGGGTGGCTTTGGGAAGACGCCCTCCGCGGCGTCCGCGCCCGAAGCTTTCAGCAACCGGGAACAAAATGGAATATCACAACTAGGGAGCCCCCAGGGCTCTTTTTTTTTTTTTAAGATTTTATTTATTTATTCATGAGAAACACAGAGAGAAAGCAGAGACACAGGCAGAGGGAGAAGCAGGCCCCACTCAGGGAGCCCGACGCCGGACTCGATCCTGGGACCCCGGGTCATGCCCTGGGCCAAAGGCGGCGCTAAACTGCTGAGCCACCCGGGCTGCCCCACATGGCTCTTACATAGGAAATTACAAGGGCTGTGGAGCAAGACCAAAGAGGTATTTCTTATCAATCACAGGCCCTCATCAGAGAGAGGACTCTGAAGTCATTCGGTCCCTAAATAATTAGTTCTGACTGAACTGGATTCCCCTTAGCTTGGCCACCCTCGAAAGGTCATTGAGCATCAGGCTGTACCTGAAGACTTCCCTCTCTTGGCGTCCTGGGTATTGGCCACATGCCCCGCAGGTAGCGCTCGGCTTGAAATCTGCCTTTGAAGTTGGCCGATGCCCAGCCACGGCGACTGCAGCCGCCTGCCCTGACGCGGCTGAGGTTTCCCTGGCAAAGGGGAGAAGCAGGGGCCAGAGGAAGGGAGCAGAAGGCCGAGGGGCAGGCGGTGGGAGAGCTGTCGGGGGACACGTGTCCTGGGGACTTCAGGACCTTTTTCAACCCTGAATGACACCATCTTTAACTGGGTACACGATCTTAACTGTGGGAAACCGCAAGTTCTTGAACTGTCAGAAGGGAGTCTCTGGAGCTTCCAAAGTGCAAATCATTTCTTGCATGAGAGAGAGAGAGAGAGAGAGAGAGAGAGAGAGAGAAAGAGAGAGAGAGAGATGTGCATTTGAAATTGAGATTTCCCTCCCTGACCTCTTAACCCTCCTTATTATTCTGTGTCCTCAGTTGGTCCGACTGTGCAATGAAGGCGCTCGGAAGATGGAAAGGACTGAAATGATGTACACAATTAACTCCCAGTTGGAGTTTAAAATTAAGGTATTCTTGCATTTCTTTGAACAGATTTATTACTGCTCTTGCTTAGATCTTACATAAATAGAGAAAGATAGTTGAGGGCGACAAAGCAGATAGGAATTTGCTTTTCAAAGAAGGGCCATAAATCGATTGCAGAGGGATTGGACTGGCGGAGGGAGTCGCAGAAGCTCCAGGCAGCTCTGTTCCTGCTTATGGTCCCCTTTAAGATAAAGTTGCCTTTCTCCAGGCCACAAGGTTAGGTTTCTCTAACCGGCACATTTCAACCCCAACAACATTTAGGGGGAAAGGGTAGTTTAAAAAAAAAAAAAAAAACAGAACAAAAACAAAAAACCCAGATTTTTAGAATGGAAAGGCAATTCTCAAAGCATCCTGCAAAAAACGGGGATATCCCAGGAATTGGACCACGTGTTCTCCTAAATCAGATAAAGACGCTCCTCTTCCAGTTTGCAGAACAAACAAGATTAGTAGCGGGGTGTTCTCTTCAACTTTGTTTTTCTTCCATAATTCTTCTTTGAACATGTGCTCCCTATTACTGCTTTGTCTGATACTGCTCCGGAGCGGATGGCAGGATGTATAAAGAGGAAAATGCCTGTTCATGGCAAATCTAGGTCGTAGTCCCCTGTTGGCTCACAACCGAGTTCTTAATGGATGTGAGTGCTCACGAGTGTGATTCTTTTTTTTTTTTTTTCTTTTCTGCGACTTGTACATTGAATTAAAGCAAGTTAATATGACGGGTCATTTTTTTTTTTCGTAGTAAAAGCGTTCCTGAATTGTGTGGTGGGTCTACACTGCTGTGGTGGATCGGCGCTTCATGGTTATAGTTGGAGGACCACGGGTGCGGGGTAGCTACATGCTTTTATTTTATAAGTGAGGAAAATAAAGCCCAGAGAATATTCGATTGTTAAGGGGGTCACGGGGCTAGTGGTGCGGGAATCAGGCCGAGGGCCCGTACGTCTTGACTCGCAGGTCAGTGTGAACCCTTTGACTTAGAACATCCTGACTGTAACGGTTGAGATGCGGGGACGTGACACATAATTTCTTAGAACGGAAGATGATGTGTGCTTGCTAAAAACACACACATGCACTTTGTTAGGTCCTTCTACAGAAATTTACAGCAATTTCCAAACCCGTCTTCCCCTCATACCTCAAAAAGAAACTTGTCCTTCTCTGTAATGAGTTTCTCAGTATTTTAGAAAACGTATCTAGACATCTAAAGTTTTCTCTCCTCTTTTTTAAAGGCTAAAAATTCCTAACCATTTTGATTTTTAAAGATGATAGATCCCTTCCCTAGCCATTTTTTTTTCTTCACTGAAACTCAGTTGGCTTAAGATATCTTTAAAATGTTTCTCTAGAACCCCAAATTAATTTGCAATTGAAAAATGCTTGCCCCAGGGCTCCTTGAAAATAAGTGACATTAATTGAGTTCATCAATTTTGGGTTCTTTGTTTTCTCCTGGCTCAATGATTAAAATGTTTGCAAGCCTAAAGGAAGATATTGTATGTTTAGATTTATAATGAGGTGCTTAATTCAGACTACTTAGGAATACTAATAAAATCCGAGGATCTTACTTCCTTAACACTTTATGGACAACCGTGGACATTTTTATTCAGTTCATTTTAAAGATGAGGAGACAGATGTCCGAAGAAGTTAAACGATTTGCGCAAGCCCGTGTGTTGTCTCAACAAATTTTGTGAGTATTTTCTTTGTGGAAGGCAGCCAGGAAACCAAAACATGATCCCTGCTCTCAGGGACCTTACTGTCTGATAGGAGGCTGCAGAAGCACAGAGCTGGCTACGTCTGCAGCTGTCACTGTAGATGGAAGACAACTGAGAACACTCTCTCCTTTCTTTAAAAAAAAATTTTTTAGGGGCGCCTGGGTGGTTCAGATGGTGAAGTGTCTGCCTTCGGTTCAGATTGTGGTCTCCGGGTCCTGGGATCGAGTCCCCACGTTGGGCTCCCAGCTCAGTGAGGAGTCTGCTTCTCCTCCATCTTCTCCCACTGCTCATATATATTTTTTCTCTCTCTCTCCCTCTCCCTCCCCATATCCCTCTGTCTCAAATAAATAAAAAATGCATATATATATATTCAATTTTTTAAAAGAATTCAGTGATTCATCATTTTTTTTTTATTTTTTATTTATGATAGTCACAGAGAGAGAGAGAGGCAGAGACACAGGCAGAGGGAGAAGCAGGCTCCATGCACCGGGAGCCCGACGTGGGATTCGATCCCGGGTCTCCAGGATCGCGCCCTGGGCCAAAGGCAGGCACCAAACCGCTGCACCACCCAGGGATCCCTGATTCATCACTTATAAACAACACCCAGTGTTCATCATGACAAGTGCCTTCTTTAATCCCTATCACCCATCTAGCCCATGCCCACCCACCTTCCCTCCAGCAACCCTCAGTTTGTTCTCTATAGTTAAGGATCTGTTTTATGGCTTCTGTCTCTCTCCCTCTCTTTCTCTTTCTCTCTCTCTCTTTTTTTTTTTTTTTTTTTTTTTTGAGAACAGGCTCAATGGGAAGGGGTGGTCAGCTCTCCCTGTGAAGTATACACAAGCTACTGGGTGCTTGTAGCAGTCAGGCAAGTCTTCATGGATGTTTGAGCCAAATCTTGAAAGGTGAGTTAGAAAGGGTCTTGTAGAAGTAAAGAGTAGGAACAAATGCCCAGAGCATGGCTTCAGCTGCTGTAGCCCAGCAATTGTATGCATCTATGGGTAGGCATGAGGTGCAAGGGGAGCAAGGCAGAGCCGAGCAGTAAACAGCGGCTCATGTGGGGACCCTTGTGTGCCAAGAGGAGCAGCTGAGCAAGGTCATTTGAGAGCCACTGAGAAGTTCTAAGCAGGGAAATGGCACTTCAGCAACATGGGAGAGGCCTTTTGAACTTACTCCAAATCCAGAAGTCATTTAAGAAATTTGATAAGCTCATTTATCTGAGAAATTTAAAAAATCTCTCTCTAGAGGGGAAAATAAGTTGAAAAAAGAAATAGCAAACTGGAAAAATATTTGCAGCTCATATGGATCGGAGGTTGATATCTTCGACATGTAAGCTCAAAGAGATAAGAAAAAGTTAAGGAGAAAAAAAAAAAAAAGAACCAAAACATTAGCAAATCGCAAATTAGAAAACAACTCCACCATCTCCTAGATGTATGAGCGTGGGCATTGCACTGTGTCTTAGTTTTCGGAACCTTAGAATGGGACTCAGTACTTTCCCTTTGGGAGTTATAGTGAGGATTAAATTAATTACTAGACGTAAAGGACTTGGAACAGATCTGATTGATGTAAGCAAGTAGGAAATAATCAATCAGAGTCTTAGTTTGACAGGCCCGGTAGGCATGTTGCAGAGTGACGAAGAGTGAATAGGATGTGAACTGTTTAAACAGATTAGACTTTTCATCCAAGAACCTTGGCAGGAGGAAGGAGGTCAGGGCTGGAGAGAAAACGTCGGTCACCAAACTAAGGCCAGTTTGTGCCTCAGATCCAAGTGTTTTTTCCACTAGACCACAGCTTTCTCTAAACGTTGCCTCCACAGAGTTAGGGAAGGTTATTATTATTATTTTTTTGTCTTGTCATGGAAAGTTTGGCCTTATGAGTAAGCACGTGGGGAAGTTGAGGCTTGTCAGCCTCTACCATGAGCCATGAATTAAGGGTAATTGAGTGGGGTGGCGTTTTGGTGGGTGGATGGATTCGCTGATCGTTTTGGGGAGGAGCCTTGCTAAAAAGTAGAAGTCCACGATCTAGCGGACAAAATGAAGAACTCTGAGGTATTGAGACATCTGTACATTGTAGAAGACAGTTTGGTGGTTTCTCAAAAAGTTAAAATGAGATTGCCACGTGACCCAGCAATTCCATTCCTGGGTATATACACTCAAGAGAGTTGAAGACAGTCGTTCAGATGAAAAGTGGTATGTGAATGTTCATGGCAGTGTTATTCATAATAGCCAAAAAAAGTGGAAACAACCCAAAAGTCCATCCACAGAATAGGTGACTTGATAAATAAAATGTGGTACATTCATACAATGAGGTCGTGTGTAACCATGAAAGAGGAATGAAGGTCTGATATATGGTACCCCAGCAATGAACATCAGACTTGAAGGTCCCATATTATATAATTTTGTTGATATGAAATGTCCAGAACAGGCAAATTTATAGAGTTGGAAGGTGGATTATTACTGGCTGTCAGGGCCTGGCGGGGCAGGGGAGGGCAGAATGGAGAGTGACTGCTTGCTGCATGTAGGGTTTCTTCTTTTCCTTTCCTTTCTTCCCTTTCTTCCTTTTTTTTTCTTTTCTTTTCTTTTCTTTCTTTTCTTTTTCTTTCTTCTTTCTTTCTTTCTTTCTTTCTTTCTTTCTTCTCTTCTTCCTTTCTTCCTTTCTTCCTTTCTTCCTTTCTTTTTCTTCAATTGGCCAACATTATAGTACATCTTTAGTTTCAGACGTAGACTTCAGTGATTCATCAGTTGCATATAACACCCAGCGCTCATCGCATCATGTGCCCTCCTTAATGCCCATCACCCAGTTACCCTGTCCTCCCCCCGCCCCCCTCCAGCAACCCTCCAGCAACCCTCAGTTTCATTCCCTGAGTTAAGAATCTCTCATGGTTTGTCTCCCTCTCTGATTACTTTCCATTCAAGTAATGAAAATGCGCTTGGATTGGTGGTGGTGATCACTGCACCGTGTTGTGAATGTAAAAAGTCCGTAAAAAGTCACAGAATTAAATGTATACTTTAACAGGGTGAAATGATTAATTTTATCTCAACGAGAATGATTATTCTTTAGCAGCTCTTCTTTGTCTCACTGGCCTGTAAAATTAAATTCTATGCTGAAACTAGTTTTCTAGAATGCTGCTTAGCACAAAAGAAGAATGAAAAGTCTTTTCTCCATAGGACTTATATCAGTATTTTTTATTTGTGCATGCATTTCTTTTCTGGTGTTGGTTCTAGTCAGAATTTCTTAATTAGAGGAATTCATTTATTCCACTTTAGATCGTTTGGATTCTTTGGTCATTTTCAATAGTTTCTTCTTTAAAGAAAAAAACAACCGAAATGAGTTTAATCTTTTAATAATAAATCTGGAAACAAAAAATATAATACCAGATTTTTTTTTTCTTTAAAAAGCACTGACATCTTAAAAACTGTCAATTTTGGATCTGTATTAGAAGTCTATTTTTGCCTAGTGGGATATGAGGAATCCATAGAAATCCATCTATTTTAAAAAACAATGTAGCTTAAAAACCTCTCTTCCCCTATCTCGTAAACCAAGAACAGTTGTAGGCTGGTGTGTACACAGGACCTTAACCACAATACCACCCTTGGTTTATCCCGTAGGCTTACACGCACCAGCAAGACAGCACTGTGTTCTCGGTAATTATAGCCCTTCCCTGGGACCACCCCCGACACGTGATCCCTTGTGGTGACCTCTTGGGTGTGCTGGTAGGGTTGTCCTGAGTTATCTAAGCGTCTCCGTCTGCCATCGGCCTTTTAAGTCTCAGCCATCCCAGTTGGATCATCATTTGATTTGAGATTTGGGGGCTGGAAATCCCTTAATAGTCAGCTTTGAAAGGTTGAGGTCAGCCATAATCTTTCATCTTCCTTTTTTATAAACCTTCAGGAAAATAGTATATAACTGATGAACAACCCCCTTATAAAAGTCCCTTTATAAAGAGAAAAAAATATATATCTACGTATATGAAATCCTTTTTTAGCTTTCTTATTTCCTCTCTAGTATCCTCAGTTTCCTCGAGCTATTTTTTAATCACTGTTCCCTGAAAAGGATGACATTTGGCACTACTGCGGTTATGTTTTATGTGTCTAAGACCTTTTGCTCACTCTAGGGATACAGTTTTTATTTTATTTATTTTTTGACTTTTAAAGATTTTATTTATTTATCCATGAGAGACACAGAGAGAGAGAGGCAAAGACACAACCAGAGGGGAGAAGCAGGCTCCATGCAGGGAGCCCGATATAGGACTCAATCCCAGGACCCCGGGATCCCTGAGCCAAAGGCAGACGCTCAACTGCTGAGCCGCCAGGTGTCCCTGGATAGAGTTTTTAAAATCATATTTTTGGCAGTAAGCATTTCTGATGATAACTTTTAAAAATAAACAAAATAAAAAGCGCTCCTAAAGGTAAGATTACTCTGCAGTTTTGAGAGTTTTCCAGTTGGAAACTGGGCACTGAATAAAGAAAAAGCAGTACGTAATTCCTTGGATATCGCCTTTTCCATGAGATGAAGATGGATTATTTTTGGAAGAGCATCGTTTTCACGGCCAGAAAGTGACATGATGCTTTCAGGGATGAATTTCCATGAGGAAAGCGGCAAAAACTTCAGGACACGTGTCCTCCAGAATATAGTTAAGGAGACAATCAGTAGACAAAACATAGTTTGTGGGGAGCTCCTCCTTTTTTTCCGGGTTGGGGGGTAGCTTTTCCTTTTGAGTGAAGTCTCTTTAGTTGATAAAGTGAACGCAAACTTTTTTGTTTCTTGTTAACTCCCAATTATCAGATTCCGATTTGTGATATTTAAAACAGTAGCAGCTGATACCGAGGGATTTCGTGTTGAGGCTTTTCAGTTTTAAGTGACTCCTCGCCAGTCTTTTCAGAGTTAATGAAAGGGTGATCATTTTCGGCTGACGCAATAATATTTTCTCGTTGAGTTTTCGTTACCCTATAGGCAAGTTAATAGTTTTCTTTTTTAATAGGAAAATAATTGTCCTTTTTTCATGTTCTCTTGGAGAATATACTGTACTTCTCTAATTATATTTCACTGTTGCATACTTTTAAAATAATGGTGTACAGCCTGATATGTGCTGTTTGGTTAGCTGTGAGTTTTAATTTTCCCTTCAATAATCTTAAAAGGAAAATGAAAGCATTTGGCTGTGTATACTGAGTTTCTTCTTTTGTAGCCGTTTCCTCTAGTCTCCTCTTCCCGGTGGTTGCTGAAAAGAGGTGAGTTAACAGCCTACGTAGAAGACACTGTGCTTTTCTCAAGAAGGACGTCTAAACAGCAAGTCTACTTCTTTCTCTTTAACGACGTGCTCATTATCACCAAGAAGAAGAGGTAAGCCATTTTCTGGTGCTGGTACCTTCAGCTTTTAAGCTCTAAGATTCAAATGCCTTTTAGGGTTGATCATCCTTTAAAAGCTTGTGAATGGGGGGGGGCCCTGAGGGGCTCAGTGGTTGAGCGTCTGCCTTTGGCATGACCCTGGGGTCCCGGGATCGAGTCCCGCATCGGGCTCCCTGCATGGAGCCTGCTTCTCCCTCTGCCTGTGCTTCTGCCTCCCTCTCTCTCTGTGTCCCTCATGAATACATAAAAATAATTTTTTTAAAAAAGCTTGCAATGATAGACGTATAGTTTCTGCATGTGGAGTCATAGTAGCATCGGTGTTTTGCTTTCTTTAAATCACACACACCGTCAGGGCTTACATCAGCAGCAGCTCTGTTGAGCTTTTCTGGCGTGCAAGCCACTCTTCTGAGCATTTTACACATTTATATCCTTGGATTCTCCTAACATCCCTGGGGAGGTAGCACTCGTATTATTCCCCTTCAGCATTTTTCCGACTTCGTCTACTGTACAATTTTTGTATAAAACAGATCAAAGTTGCTCCAGTTGAGAATGAGCTGGGATGCCATGCTAGTGTGTGCAGCTGAATTTAAAACCCACTGCTCAGGGATCCCTGGGTGGCGCAGCGGTTTGGTGCCTGCCTTTGGCCCAGGGCGCGATCCTGGAGACCCGGGATCGAATCCCACGTCGGGCTCCCGGTGCATGGAGCCTGCTTCTCCATCTGCCTATGTCTCTGCCTCTCTCTCTTTCTCTCTCTGTGACTATCATAAATAAATAAATAAATAAAAATTTAAAAAATAAAAAATAAAAAATTAAACCCACTGCTCTTCATGGTCGCTGGTCTAGGAAGTCTCCCTGTGACTGGCAAAATGAGAGCAGTACACCAGTACTTCCTTCTGAAAGGAATAAAAAGTAAATCCGTGAGCAGCATATTCCACACCCGTAAGTGCGGGTGCACATAAGTGCGCACATGCACACGTATGCTCCCCTCAGCTCTGTCTTTCTTTACGGAACATTCATCAGGTGTACTCAGTGGATTGAGGATTGTAAAGTATTTTTCTACTGATCCTTCATAAATGTCCCATCTTTCTTTTTTAATATTTTATTTATTCACAAGACAGAGAGAGAGAGAGGCAGAGACACAGGCAGAGGGAGAAGCAGGCCCCATGCAGGGAGCCCGACGTGGGACTCGATCCCAGGACCCCAGGGTCACCCCACTGAGCCACCCAGGCGTCCCATAAATATCCCATCTTTTCTAGAATATGAACTTAGAGAAAGAACATAAATCTGTGGGATTTTTTTTTTCCACATAGGCAGGCAATGATGGTGGACTGCATTTATCTGGAAAGCGGGAGAGAATCATGGTAACAGGCTTCTAGAATATATAAGATAAATGTATAAATCTATCATGAGATAGTTGTTTAGGTGCTGCTTTTGAGTTGCTGATATTTTAGCTTGAAAGCTCCAGCTAAACTGAGAGTTTGAGCTTTTCTTTTTGTTCCTTTTAATCGGGCTGCATTAGGAGCTATTTCAGCTGCTTGGCTGTCCAGCTGAAGTGAATCCTGAAGGGTCGATCCTGAAAAGCCGTAATTCGATTACAGATCAATACATAAAGGTGCTGATGACTGTTTCTCCTACTTAGGAAAATAGTGTTGCCATAACTTCAGGAAGAAAGAGTTTCTCTTACCTGGCGCAGTTTAAGTAGTTCTAATAGCTAAAGTGAATTTTATAAATAAAAACTGGAGACGGATTATAATTTTGTATTCTTATGTTTTGTTGGTTTCCTAGAGATCGCTTGTTTCCTTGTCTTTTTTTTTTTTTTTTTTGGAAGATGTTTTGTTTTTAGGGGAAAGTAATTATATATGACTCTTCAAATGCCGTTACTCTGGACTTTTAACATCTTCCAGCTGTTGAAATGCTGGCTCTATCTCGATGGACCAAAAGCTTGAACTAAACTTTTTGTTTTGTTGATAAAATATACATTGACTGTTGATAAAATACACATTGACAGGATGAGGCCAATTTTAAATATAAATGTAGCTTTGATTAGGATGTCTTCAGTTGAGTTGATGAAAACGTTAAGGGTATTTAGACCAGTTTTTTTTTTAAGATTTTATTTATTTATTCATGAGAGACACACACACAGCGAGAGAGAGAGAGAGAGAGAGAGAGAGAGAGAGAGAGAGAGAGGCAGAGACCACAGGCAGAGGGAGGAGCAGGCTCCATGCAGGGAGCCCGATGCGGGACTCGATCCCGGGACTCCAGGATCACGCCCTGGACCGAAGGCAGGCGCTAAACCGCTGAGCCCCCCAGGGATCCCCTTTAAACCAGTTTAGTACAAACTCTTGCTCTCGAACTGGCCTAGAACCACCCTGTAAATCCAGGCTTTTGGCACTTGAGAATTAAGGCACACACCATTCCACTTAGCCGTGTACTCTGCCCTCCGCGGCAGATTTTGCCATTATGCGGAACGTTGCTTTAGTAACTGTCCCGTATTTCTTTGCTTGAAATATCAGTAAATGAAAGAAAAACAGAGCTCCAGTGAAGAGGGCCAGCTTGGTGCTTATCTCTGCCTTTACCCAAACGGGGATTGTCCCCACCCCCTTACCCACAATCTCACCCTATTTCTAAGGTGCTCTTGACTAGGAGAATAGCACCGAAGGCTCAAGTTGTTTGCGGCCCGAATACGCGGTGCGGGGGACAGGCAGACCAGGGAGACTTGATAAACAGGCCTGGCCAAGAATGTGCAGAATGCGCAGCCCTATTTACACTGGAGCGTCAGGGAGGCGACGGCGAGACGGCGAATGCTTCGCATGCCGGGGCCGCAGGAAGGAGCTGCAAGGGCCGGAGCACCCGTGACTCAGGTGGGGCTGCCGGGTGCAGACGGGGGCATTGCCTGGGCCCGCCTGTGCCCGCCTCCCTGTGGCTCCGGGGCAACCTCCGGGGGAGGCCGCCTGGGGGGCCGCAGGCCCTTCCTCCTCCGTCGGGGCGGCAGGGGGGCTGCGGCCGCGCAGCTCTGCGGTGCAGGTATTGGTGTGAGGCCTTGCACAGCAGGTCACGACCCTGGGGCTCTCTTCTAGGTCGGGGATGTTCACCTTTTTTTTTTTTTTAATATTATAGGGAGTTTAAAGTCTCCCATTAGCTCCGGGCTGGTTGCAGGCCCCTGTATTTAATAGTCTCTTCTACCAAATTTCTGAAGGATGGGTGACCAGTCCGACTCTTCTGGATGAGAACGTGAATTCTTTGGTAGTTGAAGCTCTGACGGTAGGTTATGTGGGCACTTCTAGGGCACGGTTCTCACCACGGCACTTTTTTTTTTCTTTTTTTAAGATTTTATCTATTTATTTGAGAGAGAGCGAGTGAGCGCATGAGGGAGGGGAGAGGGAAAGGGAGAAGCGGGAGCCCTCCTCGGGGCTCAATCCCAGGCCCTGGGGTCATGACCTGAGCCCAGGGCACAGGCCTAACCGACTGGGCCACCCAGGTGCCCCCACCTCTGCGGTGCTCTGGAGGCCTGATAGCTCTTTGTCGTGGGGGCTGCCCTGTCCCTCGTAGGATGTTTTTAGCAGCCCGCCTCGTCTCTACCCCCACTCTTTGCCAGTAGCATCTCCTTCTTAGCTGCGACAACCCAAAACGCCTCCAGACATGGCTCTCTGTCCCTTGTGAGGGCCAAATGGTCCCCGTTTGAGAACCGCCGTGCCTCAGCGACGGCAAACTGGCGGCCAGTGCTGCCTTGAGGATGGTGGAGGTGCGCCGATGTATCAGACCTGACGCAGCAACGATAGCAATGCCGTGATAGGGGACCAGATTGCCAGGTTTTACTCCCACATTAATGACGATTGATCCGTGCCCTGTAATAACTTCTCTGTAGGTATCCGTTACAGTTACACAAACCATACCCTGTGTCCAGCCTTAGGGGCCACGTACTGTCGTGTCCAGTTCCGAGATGCAGAAACTGAATCGAAGACCCAAACAGGTTCAAACTCTCAGAAACCTTGTTCCGTCAGGTAGTCCACTGCCCTGTTCTCATGCAGAGCCTAATATCTGGCTTAAGTCTTCTCTCCCAGTTTCTTCTTCTGAAGCAAAAAGCAGTTTCCCCTCTTTTTCTCCCCGCTCCCCCCCTCCAGCTGTTAGAGTAAAAGGCTCACACACTGGGTGGCTTAAGACAACAGGAAGGGATAGTGTCACCGTTCTGGAGGCCGTGGTCTGAAATAAAAATGTTGGCCGGTCCGTGCTCCCTCCAAAGTCTCTGGAGAGAATCCTGCCTCACTTCTTCTGGCCCCTGCGATCCCTTGGCTTGTAGCAGCATAACTCCGACCTCTGCCTCTGTCTTCAGGTGGCCTTCTTCCCTCTCTGTCTGTAAATCTCTCTCTCTCTCCTTACAAGGACACCAGTTCCCGGATTCAGGGCCTCCTCCACTCCGGGATGATCTCACCCTACCTTGATTACGTCTGCAAAGACCTTATTTCTCAATAAGGTCACGTGTGCAGGTATCGGGGTTTAGGACTTGAACAGACTTTGGGAGGTCACGGTTCAACGCCCTGCGCTCCCCCAACCCGTCAGCACTGTGAAGTTATGATTATCATCACATAATGAATAAAGGTGCTTAGGAATAGCGTTCTAAGCCAGCGGTAGAGAGCACACCTTTTTTGTAAACAATGACGGATGCTGTTTTTTCATAATTTTGGATGCCATCATGGTCCTGTGACTCGAGCACTTCTATCTGGAGGGCCCATAGGTTTCCTTTATCTACTTCTTCTGCTTCAGACCTGTTCCTTCTCCAAGGTCTCTTCCTTCCTGTTAAGGCCGCCTCCATGCATCTGGTTGCTCTGCAATAAACCCAGAAGGCTACTTTGGCTCCTTGTGCTCATTGCTCTCCCCCCTCCAGCCAATCACTGCTTCTCCCGTCTCTCATTGGGAGTGCCCATGTGGCACCACTTTGAATTCACCTGTGAGACACACCTGGCTGGACTCATGCCACCATCCCTCCATCCACTTTA